CTGCAGCTGGGGACAGGGCTGGTATTACTGACGGGGACCAGGCTGGTGTTACAGACGGGGACCGGACCGGTGCTACAGACGGGGACCGGACCGGTGCTACAGACGGGGACCGGACTGGTGCCACAGACCGGGACCGGACTGGTGCTACGACGGGGACCGGGCCGGTGCTACAGACGGGGACCGGGCTGGTGTTACAGACGGGGATCAGGCTGGTGCTACAGACCGGGACCGGACTGGTGCTACGACGGGGACCGGACCGGTGCTACAGACGGGGTCCGGGCTGGTGTTACAGACAGGGATCAGGCTGGTGCTACAGACCGGGACCGGGCTGGTGTTACAGACGGGAACAGGGAAGGTATCACAGCTGGAGAATGTTCTGAGCCAGTGAGATAAGCTATAGTTCTCTCTCACCGCTATTCGTGTCCGGAGTAACAACGCCGTTAACATTACAATCTACGTCAGTTTCCACGTCGTGGTGGTGGTTGGCAGGATGCCTCCCACGCAAATTGTAGAAATCCGCCCATGTCTGATGTACCTTGTTTTCCATGCGTCATGCGGCACAGTGCACGCGTGGGACTCGCACGCCAGGCGTAGTAAGCGTGATAGTTACACCGTTTTACGACCGTGTCTTGGCTGTGCTTGTTACGGCCGCCAAGAAGAAAATTTACATAATACATATTCATATATTCAGAACATCTCCCCGGAAAGAGTGAGGTATGCGACGGAGCTCGCCTACCTCGCCCCCGTCTTCTTTCGACGAATGCATGACCTTGTGCATGGCAGTCATGTAGCCCGGAATGAAAACGGCGAACATGCTTCACATTGACCATTCGAAGATTTTGGAACATCTTCTTTATTGACATTTCGAACATTTGGAAAATTATCGCACATTCTGAAACCAAAGAAACGCTTGCCCGCCATTAACTTGAAGATGCGGTAAGTCCGTGTCCGCCGCGCCTGCGCGGTCTAGTGCGCACAATAAACCCCTGCGTGAGTAAAGTTGACAGCCCACATGACCGTCCGCTAGTTGTGCGCAGTGAGCTTACTTACAGCTTCGAAGGACAAACTGAATCCTTGAGACTGCACGTATCACAGCACTCAAGTGCCCGTTCTAGTTAGAGGCCGACCGGGCTGGTAAGCTGGAGAGTGAAGTCTCTGATCGGACATGACCTCGTCATTCTGAGCCCCGAGGCATTATTGCAATGAGAGCAATGGCGCATTGCAACTGATCATGCAAAGCCGCTACATCAGCGGTGATGCACAATCAGCCGCACTATTCAGCAACCCTGCACTATCCCTCAACCACGCTATTCAGCCTGGAGACAAGGATTTTGTATTTGTCGTCGCTACGAGCCTTAAAAGGCGTTATTTTTCACGTCCCTCTATGCAATACTCCCAAAGCAGGCACACAGCTCACGTCTGCCTTCATACATGTGTACAGGCACGGTCAGTGCGAACGGGCTCGTACTGCTCGCTCGAAATGAGCCCGAGTCATGCTGTAGTTTCATGTACAATTACAGCCATCGTGTGTCACTGTGGGAGCGCTTTACGCGCATCATGAATCAAGAACCTGGGGTGCAAGCCCGGTGCAATTATGAGCCTAGCCTACTCGACCAATGAACACCATATGGATGTGAGAGAGGTCTATAAACTTCTGAAGATCCGTGCCATTTGTCATAGAAAGACTACTGTGGGAAAGAATGCTGCCGCCTGGCTCGTTTCGACTTCACGGCCCCTGCGTCTCCGCCGATCTCCTAACGGGCGGCTCACTGACAAGACCGCCGCCAGCTGGCGGCGGCAGAGGGGCGCCCCGACGTCAACAGACCGCCGCTCTGAGACACGAACTCAGAGGCGAAATCAGAGAGCGGCGCCTCTGACACTTTATCAGACACGCTTCGGTCTGTGTGCCTCACGCTAAGAAGCACAGACGTCCATACTTTCACCACCAGGTACCAGCAAGTTAAATATTCATCTCAGGCACATTGTCATCAGACAATGAGTACCTCACCGTCAGATGCAAACATACACACCGCATCCCATTCATGCAACGCCAACCGACTCCTCGAACCAGGACATCGTACTCCAAGGAGGCCCGGAGCAGATGGCTAGCAGCTGACGCGGTGTTGATAAATGAAACGCTGATTGGTCGGTCGACAGTCCTGGGAAGCCGTCTGACGGTGCGGCGCAGGTGAAGCGGCAGAACGGTGTCCGTAATTCGGACTCGGGCTAGAGGAGGTGTGTGCCACCTTGCAATCGTTTAATGCAGTACCCGGTCGGGGACGCCTTGGATAGAGGTGGATGCAGCTGTCGTGGCGTTTGAAATGAGCGAAAAATGCTTTGACCTGTTAAAGGCTATTTCCGCTGTGTTGAGATCTGCAACTGAGAACTTACGCTGATGAGTCGGCGGAAAACGTCTTCGTTTATTCAACCCAACCGTGTTAAGGATGATTGCTGAACGATGCAGTTCATGGTTTCGTTCACGTTCAATCAGCCGGCGTTTGCTGGCGCCAGTTGTAATGCTATGCAACCGAATGTCATAGTAGAAAGTCATGCTTATCAATGGATGTAAATTAACATGGTCCGGTCCGTACCGCGTTTGTAAGCCATCTCGGTACCCACCAGGTATGCAGAACATTGTGGATCTAACACTTCAGTTCTCTCAACACGGGTGCTTTCAATACGTTGATGTCTCTAAAACGTTGTTTGCCCGTGGATGGGAACACGTAACGCGATTGTACAGTTTCGGCCTCTCGTAGGACGACGAGTTCAAGACTCACTGCATCGGCCAGGTTTCGATGCCTCGCTGTCATCAGCGTGAGAAAATCCTACGCTGATGTCCTCGGCGATTAAATGCGCCGCAAATAACAGGCACGCGGAAGTTCAGGTGCGCGCGCACCACCGGACCAATGGCGGAGTCCTGTGACAGATCCTGGGACGGACCGCGTGTGGAGTCTGGTGCCATTCGCCGGGACCACGAGCAGAGTCTGGTGACAGTTCCTGACGTCCGGGACGTTTACCCCTGGAGCGTCTGAATGGTATATGATGACGATGATCGTCCCATACGACATTGCTGCACCACCATCATGGCTTGAACATAGGGTAATGGTACGGGAGATTATCCTGGACAACCTTTGTCATGCAGTGCGAGGGTTTGCTCGCTCGCGAACGTTCAGTAGCACATGCAGTAGGTATGCATCATGCAGGAACAATATGTATTGTAATAAGTGGCATGTACGTAAGGATCCTTACCGAAGCCAGGCGACTGAACGGTCTTTTTTTTGGTTGCGGCATCACTCTGATGATAGCGTTTAGATACTTATCCTTTTCCCTCTTGCAAGAAACAATTACTTCAGTCGTATACATGACAACGTCAAGCAGTGCGATAAGCTTTGCTTCAGGTCTAGACACCGATGGCTTAATAAGACATCACTTTATCGTTGCGTGATCCATAATAGTCAGGGTCGGAAATGGACGAGAAAGCTGTTTGTTTTGCTTCTTGACTTGGGAACCTGATATGCTTTAACAATAAGGAAACGATCAAACCCTTTTAGCTTGTCACATTAACTGCCCATGTTAATGCTTGGTTCGTCTTTCGCAAAGAGTTTATAATATTTCAGTGCCCAAACAATTTATGATATTTCAGTGTTCGTCATGGGACATTTAGGAATGCTTTATGAATGGATGTCTGACATGCTACACGCCCATTTAGTTTGATTCCAAAATGTGGTTCTGGGTTATACCGGAAGACGCCACGGATATTTCGTTAATGCGTGCCGTGGCATTCTTTGAAGCTTCCGCACACCATTTGTACAGGTCCCTGCCCATATGACCGCACTCATGCATACGTTAAAGTGGCCATTACAAATTAGCTCATATGTTTCCGATATCAATGATAGATTCCGGATACCTGGATCAGCTTTTTAGATCCAGGCTTGTGGAATCCATGGGCCGTTAGAATATCAATTTACCACTTGGACCGCAGCGTGGACATGACGGTTTACCGCGCGAGCGTAGCGAAAACTTTCTGACGATAACGATGGGGTTGCCTTGCATGCACACTTTCTAATGTCGGGCAGCTGGAATGCACCTGAAGCCGGATCGGCGGTCTCGCACAGCCACTATGACCGCACGTTTTGGTGCCGGATCTCGCCGGATACACGCGACATAACGGGGCGGAGCGTCCGGTGCCCGCGCGAGACTTGGCACGCTTTAATCGAGCACAATGTCCCATCTGTCGGCGCTGAAACTGTGTGACGCGCATCGAGGACAAGGCCCCCTGCTCCCGCACTTCAGACACGGCACCTGGCGGCCTGGTGCGAGGGGCGCCCCGACCCGCGTGCCGGCGGATCTCGCGGCAGGCGGAGGCTGCGGCAACGCCTCCCTCCATCCCCGGCGACGGCGACGGCAGTGATCCGACCCACTGCGAGCCGCCGCGCGCCACTTGGCCGGTGAATCGGAAAAGTAGCGCTACGGTGGACCGTGGCTGGTGCGCTGCCACGCACCACCTCGCGCCGCTGCACCGGCCGCATATCAGTCATCATTATTTGCAAAGCGACGAGAGCAACCACGTGGAACTGCAGTCGCTCCGCATGAGGAGTCAGCGTCCGGCATAATGGGCCAGATTCCCAGGGAACGGGGCTGTCGGCGGCTGGACGGCGCGGTGCGTGGCGCGGGCGACACGGCAAGGCGTTATTGCGCGCAGCGTGAAACGAATTTCGCTTAGGAGCTCGTTGGCGCCGCATAAGTGAAATGTTTAGCTGTATCGTTCGCTGCGCGCGTGCCGGTTTTCATACACAGCTGCCTAACAGCGTCAGTATTGCGGCGCACAACAGTCGGAGAAAGGGGAAATCCTGAGAAAAGTACGCTGACAACGCTAAGATGAAGAACGGTCTGTCAACCCTATCACGGCCAAGCCACAGTCGCGTCGAACCGCGCGCGTACAACATATTCAGCACATCCTCCGCTTCACCGCTCACTCTGACTCTGCTCTATCTTTCCAGGACTCGGAGAGCAAAGTCTGCCTTGGGTGGTAACTGACGCCGACATCCGTCCGTGGCGCGGTCCCTGAAGCCGGCCTCCGTCCGTGGCGCGGTCCGTGAAGCCGACCTCCGTCCGTGGCGCGGTCCCTGACGCCGGCCTCCGTCCGTGGCAGTGACCCCTGACGCCGACTTCCGCCGATGCCGGCCGCCGCCGCCGCGCGAAGATGATGAGGAACACCGCGGCGGCGGACGGTTACAGTTTCCGGCTGGACGCGGACTCGTCGAGCACCTACTCGGACGCGAGCACGACCGAGCGCAGCTCCATCTACAAGCGTCGCATCGACTCGCTGTTCCGCGAGAAGCGCTCGGCCGGCGGCTCGGACGCGGCCGCCGCCAGCAACAGCGACTACGAGGTGATGGAGATGGCGCCCGAGCAGCGCAGCCAGCAGTTCCAGGACGTGCGCTCGGCCGTGCAGGCGCAGATCGAGAAGATGTTCGCCGGCGGCGGCGGGCCGGCGCCACTGAAGCCGCCGCCGGCGCCCGGTCGGACGGCGGAGCCGCCAGCTCCAGCGCGGCCGGCCGGCGCGCCGCCGCCGCCGGAGCCGGCTCCCGCGCTGGCGGAGGAGCCGGCACGGCGGCCGGCCGCCCCCGAGCAGAGCCAAGAGGTCGGGCGGTCGGCCTCCGCCGGCGTCAAGTTCAAGGTCGACTACCTGGGTGCGCTGGCGATTGAGGACAAGGCGACACGCCTGGAGGACCTGCAGTTCCCGCTGAAGCGGCTGTACATGGAGTACCGGATCCTGCAGAAGCGCGGCAAAACGCCACTCCCCGGAACACTAGAGATCACGGACACAGGGGTGCGGGTGCAATACGTGCGCGAGCTGCATAAGGGCGTGCAGGAAGTGTTCAACCCGTTCCAGACGATCGCCGTGTGGGCAGCCGTCAAGTTCGTCGCCAAGAAGCAGGTGAACCCCTCGGGTCAGATGGAGCTCAAGTTCGCCTTCCTGCCGCTCATCTGCGACCCCGAGAGCCAAGAGAAGTTCACGCTGTACAACGACCTCCAGATGGACCTCATTACCGAGGCGGTGGGCGTCAGCCACCCACCCGTGTTCGCGTGCGTGATGCGCAAGCCGGGGTTGGTCAAGACGCTCGAGTGCCACGGCTTCGTGTGCGGTGCGCCTGAGGACGCCATCGTGATCGCGGCCAACCTGTACCAGGCGCTGCTGTCCAGCATGCGGACCGAGCCGGCGGCCGGCTCGCCGCGGCTCGACACCTCCAACGGCAGCAACTCGAGCGTCGACACGGCCGCCGACGAGTCGGACGCGCCGCGCCGGCCACCGCGACGCCGGCGCGCGCCGCCGCCGCCGGACGGCGCGCGCCGTGAGCCGGCGGCCGACGAGCGGCGCCGCTCGCAGCGCAGCCGCTCGTCGGCGGCGCGCTCGCCCAGCCGCAGCCGCAGCCGCGCCCGCAACAGCCACGGCTCGTCGGAGCACAGCAGCCGCAGCTCGAGCGAGCGGGGCGTCGAGCGGCGCGGCCGCAGCGCCAGCCGCCCGGCCAGCCGAGCGGCCAGCACGCGGCGCAGCCGGCGCCTCACGCGCAGCGCCTCCGACCGGCACGGCGTGGTGGTGGACGACTTCAGCGGCGGCCGGCTCCCGCGAAGCCGCAGCTTCGCCGAGCTCAACGGCCGGCTCGACATCAAGCAGCTGCTGGCGCAGATCCAGGCGCGCGACGGCATCCGCACGGTGGACGACGTGCTGCGGCAGGTGGTCAACCCGGGCGGCATGAGCTTCAGCGACCTGCGGCCCGAGCACCGCGAGCTGCTGCTGCGGTTGGCGCTCACGCTCAGCAAGGACGAGATGTACCAGCGGAGCAAGCACATTATGAAGAAGCAGTCCAAGAAGCTGTCCTCGGTCGGCGAGAGCGACACGGACGGTAGCACCATCAGCAACGTGCTCAAGGCCACCAAGAAGTCGTTGTCGCGCTTCAGCTCCCGCTCTGGCAGCTTCCAGTCGCCGTCCTCTTACCTGCGCGAACGTACGCCGCTCAAGAAGCTCTACAACGTGCGCGCGAGCGAGAAGAAGCTGGGCGTGCGGAGCGACGGCGAGGTGACCGTTCGCGCGCTCCGCAGCGTCTCAGGCGCGAGAGACGAGGCAAAGTCGCCGCCCTCGAGGCTCTCCTCCTCGTCCTCCTCGGGCACGCGGCCGGCGCCCAAGACGCCGATGCCGGCGCGCGCACAGCGCGTGCCGCCGCCGGCGGCGCCGCCGTGCGACTGCGGCTGCGACTCGGAGTCAGTCTACTCGAGCAAGTGCTACTGCACGCTGCCGCGCGGCGCCGGCGGCCTGACCAAGGCCAAGTCGACGTACGACCTGCCGTGCGCCTGCGACACGGAGAGTTGTGCTGAGAGCGAGAAGTGCTACTGCTCTCTGAAGCGCGTCAGCAAGAGCGGCCTCAAGGTGTACCAGATCAAGCTGGACTCTGAGAGCGAGTCGACAGACGGCGCGGCGCGCTCGACGCTCGGCCGAGGCCGGCGCCGTGAGTACGGCTCGCTCGGCAACCTCTCGCGCGCCGACTCGCCCTCCACCGCCTGGCGCAAGAACGCGGCGTCGCTCCAGAGCGGCGGCTCGCGCGACTCAGCGGCGCTGCGGCGCGGCCGCAGCTCCAGCTCGCTGCTCACCAGCTCGACGGGCGTGATGGGCGACAAGAGCGGCGGCGCCGTGTACGCCGAGGAGGCGGCCGTGGCGCGCCGCCGCAGCCGCAGTCGCAGCCTGGCGCTCAGCCTCGACAGCGACGGCAGCGCGCGCGACCCGCAGTCGGCGCGTGCCGGCCGCAAGAGCTTCAGCATCGACAACCTGCACCACTCGGCAAACGGCTTCATCTTCAACCGTATGAGCTCGACGTCGTCAATGTCGACGACGTCGAACCGCTCGAGCCAGAGCGCCGGCTCGGGTGGCCGCTTCCTGCTCGTGTCGGCGGCCGATCCGTCGGGCAAGATCGTGTACCGCGGCGCGTCGCAGCGGCAGCCCTCGCGTAACGGCGGCGACATCATGTCCATGAAGAAGACCACCGAGATCGCCGCCACCTTCTCCGGCCTCAAGCTGAACCAGACCACCGACCTGCTGGGCACCGAGAGCGAGGACGACGCCTACAGCTCGATGCAGAACGTGAGCGGCTCCAACACGGCGCGCTCGCGGCACGGCTACTCGGACCAGAACATTGAGAACTCGCTCGGCTACCTGCCCTGACGGCGGCCGGCGTGGCGGCGCCCGGCCGCCGCGGCTGGCGGGCGGCTCGCTCCGACCGGGGCACGACCGCTCACGGCCGGCTGAAGCTGTGCGCCGGCCACGAGGCGGCCCCGTCGCCTCTCGCGGCTGCCCGCGATCAAAAGCGTGTTGCGTTACGCACGTGTGATGTTGGTGTTGTGTTGTTACGAAGCCTCCTCGCTCCATGTGATGTTACGGGGTGAGGTGATCATGTTACAAGGTTGATGCGACACTGAGCTCGCAACTGCCCCCTCAGTTCGCATGTGTCGTGTAAGGCGTATTGGTGGAACGGCTTAAGTGGGTCGGGCGGCGAGCTGCAGCCAGGTGTGCGAAGTATTCCCTATGTTATTGTTGATGAAGTGTTGTTTGTATCCATTTAGCACGCATTATATGAGGTACGCCGTTGGAGTTCAAACGAGGAAATGTGGAGTTACAATATCTTAAGAATCAGGAAGAATCAAGGTACAATGTAAAGTGTTCTTTAGCTGAAGAATAGGCAGATGGCATCGAGAGGTCGAAAAGTCGACGACCTGAAGTCGTCGATCGATTGTTGCCCGTGAAATTCCGAACCGTATTATATTGTCAAATATTTTGTAAGCAATGTGTACCAAATACATATTTAAGCCCTGAGAAAGGTGACGTCACTTCATTTTAAACAACTGCATCAGGGAAAATCACACAGATTAGCTTCCAGAAACAAAATATCATTGATAATGCCACGGGTGCTACAGCGGCCGTCATTTTGGGAGAGCGTGGTGACGGATGTCTCATTTAGGGCCGAGTTCATTCCCGAAGCAATCCACGAGCGCTGTGAACAATTGCGTCGTTTTGTTTCCCCATCAGCCTGATCGATGGGGCACTTCGAGTAAGCAAACACGGCCGCACCCGCCCCGCAAGCTCAGGATCCGACGGGGCCGGTAAATTGACGGGCTGGCGCCGCCGCCCGACCCGCGCCCCACGTGACGGATGGGGTCATGATCTCCCTGTCGGCTCGCACGCGCGTTCAGCGGCTACCGTCGCTCTGATGACGGCCGGCGCGGTCCGACCGGACAGTTGAAGAGGGCAGCTAAAGGCTGGGTGTACCTGGGATGAGCCGGTCTGCGGAGGAGATCTGTGCCGACCTAAGAGGAAAGACAGGTTCATCCCATGGTGTGGCGGGCCGGGGTGCCGACCCGACATCGTTAAGGACGGGGCTGACCGACCAGCGGGTGAGTTCCGGTCAGCGCCTGTGTCGTGAGAGTTTTAAGGTCGGTGGCCGTGTCGCGAGGGGACCGGCTTCGTGAGCGAGCTGGAGCCGGCAGCATGGTAGTGAGGGACCCGGGGCCGTGATGTGCCACGGTCGTGAGGGACTGGGGTCGGGGGCTGGGTCGTGAGGGACCCGGAATCTGCGGCTGCGCTGTGAGTGGACAGGGGTCGTGACTGACCGTGGTCGTGAGGGACTGGGGTCGGCGGCTGGGTCGTGAGGGACCCGGAATCTGCGGCCGTGTTGTGAGTGGACAGGGGTCGTGACTGACCGTGGTCGTGAGGGACTGGGGTCGGCAGCTGGGTCGTGAGGGACCCGGAATCTGCGGCCGTGTTGTGAGTGGACAGGGGTCGTGACTGACCGTGGTCGTGAGGGACTGGGGTCGGCATCTGGGTCGTGAGGGACCCGGAATCTGCGGCCGTGTTGTGAGTGGACAGGGGTCGTGACTGACCGTGGTCGTGAGGGACTGGGGTCGGCGGCTGGGTCGTGAGGGACCCGGAATCTGCGGCCGTGTTGTGAGTGGACAGGGGTCGTGACTGACCGTGGTCGTGGGGGACTGGGGTCGGCGGCTGGGTCGTGAGGGACCCGCGCTCGGCGGCCGTGTCGGGCGCGCGCCAGACGCGGCGTCGGAGCGCGTCGGCCCGCCGCCCGTCGTCACGACCGGCCCGCTCTCCGCGCCTATCAAGGCAGGTCAGGCGTGAACGGCGTCGCCGCTAACCGCCGCCCGCCGCCGTCTGGATGCGCAGAGACGCCTTTGCGGCGACGAGATCCCATCCTGGGCCATGCACCGTCAATAACCGGCAGCAGACGGAACGCGCGATGAACTTGCATCCAGTACCTTTGCACCCTTTATGGCACGTACCGTACGGCGGCGAGCGAGCCAGAGCCGAGTCGGAGACCGTGGCGGGACGATGAGCATCCGAGGCGCGGAGACAGCTATCCTGGCTCCGGGGCGGCACTCGGCTGACACCACCCCACCCGCCGTAGCGCTGGCAGGTACGCGTCGGCACGCGGGCAGCGGCAGGCAAACGGTGTGTTTTGAAGGCTTCGAACAGCCCGATGGGTCGCGACTAAGGTTGTGGAGAACCTTGGTGAACTTACGCTGCCTGATGGAAATTATCAAACATTCAATGGAACTGATCCGCAATGTCCATATTTTGTGTTGGATAAAGGTTTTTGATTAAGAAAACTTAAGCTCTTTTTATTATGGCGTTTTTCATGGGTACCAGAACTTTTAAAAAATGATACAAATATCACCGCGCATGTACTGGCCTAATGGATGCGTGATTACAAGAGGAAAAATATTTTAGCATTATTCCCTTCAACCTTTTCAGCGGTTTATTTGACTCTGACCTTGACTTGCGCCAGGAATCGCCATGAACTGATGCTACACTACAAGAAACCGAGCCCATCTAAACAGACATCAACGCATGGTTTCGGCCGTTCGTACTGTGTGGCTGGATCTTCGATGTCGGATTCTGAATGCAGAATTGCTGCCCGTACATATGGACCGAGTTGGAAAAAAATGAAACCGAAAGATGTTATTCCGCCGTGAATTCTCCCATTGGCATCAAACAGACGGCAGTGACGTCAAACGCGTTATCCGCCAAAGCGACCCACAGATGGGCAGGGCAATGCTTTTCGTAAGGATGGGGCTCGACTCCTCCTTTGCGCGACGTAAGCTGCAAGGAAATATGAGAGGGCAAACAGACTTACAGGTCATTGGGAAAATAGCTGGATATATTTCAGCGAGGAGAAATCAATGTCACCCACGTACACACACTGATCACGTGTTACTGCTTCGCGAATTCCCAACAAATGGAAACTTAACTTTCAAGTTAGCGTCGCCCGGCTTGGTAGATAATGCTGGCAGGGAATCTTAAAATTATTAGTCTAACACATGTCTCAAATTGATGCAATTGAATCAGCCCATTGAGCACTACGGTTGGTAACTTTTACTTATTAACATATCACATATTCAGTGCAACGGAAAACGCACAAGCAAACACACTCTTAGCCTGGCTATTGTCGCTTCTGTGAGAAAAATGAGGACGATGTGTGCCAAACATCGTCCATTGCGCGTAGGCCGCTGAAGCAAAATCACCGCCATCACAGCCCATTACACGGATAGCAGCGTCCCATCGAAAAGCGATGGTGAAAAGTATTGCCAGATTGATGGAAGGATGGAAGTATCACTGACAGTAATCACAGTATCACTGACAGAAATTACGCATGACAAACGGTAAACACTCCCGTAGTCCTGCTAGACGTAAGTACTTCGGCCACTCTTCTACTGCGTCCATGTCTGACTGCTCCACGGCGACGGCGGTCATCACAGCCCGGCAGCCGGAATGTTCTGCGGGTGCCTGACTGCAGCAGCGAGACCCCCCCCCCCCCCTGGCAGCTGAAATGCAATGCAACCGCGTCTCTGCATCATGACACCACCGAACATCCACCTCTCCGCCGCATCCGCAACACGATCCACCGTCGACCCTGCGCCGGTGAGGGCGGAGCACAGCCACCCCGCTGCGGTCGGGGGTGCTCAGCTGGTCCACGAGTCAAACACGAAGATGATGTCCTCGTCGGTGCCGTAGCTGCGCCGACACTGATCCAGCGCCGCCACCGACATGCAGCATTCCCCTGGCGGCCGGAGTGGCAAGTGATCATCACACCGCCTCGCGACAGGTGGCGCCGCCAGGTGGAGCGCCATCCGGGTTGGGACGGGGTATGGGCGGAGCCATGTACTTTGGAAGGGCAGGTAGGCCAATATTCATGGCGGCAGTACCATAAAGGGAGCCTGCGTCTAGCCAAGAGGCCTGCTAACACGTCTACACTACTGATCGCTTCACCGATAGGCCTCCTCTCAACCACGACCTGACCTCGATCGCGCGACAGTGGCCTGGCATTTTTCATGAAGGGGCCTCTCCTGTCTGCTGCATCATGATCATATCCGCCATGACGTCGGCCTCCTGCCGTACTACCAACCTCAACCATCCACGATGTCTGGAGCACAGTCAAGAGGCCCCTGTCAGGACCAAGAGAAGTCCTCGGTCATGAGCCCCATACCTCCCTACCGCATCTTGGCTCTCAACCACATGTGATCGTCATATTACCGGGACCCCTCTCGTTAATGGCGGGGTCCTCTCTTCGGATATCAGTGGGATCTCTCCTATTGGCAGAGCCCTGCTATACAGCTGCTTAAAACCGTCGAATTTGTCGCTGTGATGAGCCCTAGGCCCCCAACAGTCCACTTAACTCCGTAATGGCTTGCGTTGGGGCCTCCTCACTAACACAGCATGGGTCTCCTGCAGACTCTATCTCGGCTCTCAGTCACCTACCTAAGGTCCTTACATCTCAGGCTCTCTAATCTAATAGCTCTTACTCTGATAGGTGCCTGCCGCGGCATGATCGCTTTCGAGTATGCCCAATGCTTTCGCAATCGGGGCCCCTTTCTGGATCATCATGGCATCACGCTTCTGGCCGTGGCCGGACCCCCAAGCAGCAGTATTGCTGCTGACCTGGTCGTGTGCGATTGTGACTTACCGTGACTTTCGAGGGGCCTGCCAAATTTTTATGGTGGGAAGACATACTCGCCCACCCCGACTGCCCACAGGCTGGCCGGCTGCCCACCCTGTCCGCCCAATGGTTCAGCCCCTCCAACACGGGATGGTGAGCGTAGACATGGCGTCACATACGCACATGGGTACGGCGGGACATTATCACAGCATGTTGTGGGGTGTAGGGGCGATTCAGACGAGCACTACCGCGGAATAATCACAAGCATCACACAAGCATCATCATCGCCATACCGCCCATGCTGTCGGATATTTCAAGCGGACGGCTTCGCGCTGAGAACAACGGAAACGGACCTGGGGCATTCCCATCACTATCGCATGTCAGGTCTGTGCCTCGGGCGATTACCTGTATTACCTGTATCTGTGCCTGCAACGCAATTGTTTAATACACTATTCCAGAATGCAGAACTTGGGATTAAGGCCCTGAAGTTTATTTGATGAAATTTGCTAGAAATACGTGAAAACAGACATCTGATTTGATTATTGCACTTCGCACATCATTTGATGTTACAAAAGGTGCACTGGAATAGAAATGGCAGGCCAAGTACACTGAAATACGACTGACAGGCGGAAACAGAGGTGCCATGGTCATTGGGGCTTTACGATGCACTCAGCTGCTGAGGCTTTATGGCGTCGCCTGCCTCTCACCCTGGTAGAGCGGGCGGGCACCGCGAGGAACCAAACCCCGAACCTCTGGTCTCCCAGACGCGCAGTGGTTAACTCAGATGTGTTAACCACTACGCCATCGGAACCCATGGTGATGCGACAGTGGACCAAATAAGAACATTTACTTACTGTCTCGAAACGTCGGGTTTCGGTAGAAGACGACCCTCTTCGACAAGTCGTATCCGTACAGCACTATGTAATGACCTGGAACAACCCGTCAGGACTGAACGACTCCATGCTGGCGAGGCGCAGACTGTAGTCTAGACACTCGGCTGAGAGCACTGTGCTGTCAGCTGACCGTCATGTGCATGATGAACGCATCGCAGCCAGGTGATGTGCAGGAGCGATACGCCACATCAGCGGCAATGCATTTGTAAACGTCGGCTCTGTTAGCCGACAGTCATATCATGTGCATTGACGCGCCAAGAGCAAAAAATATGATATAAATTGTTCGTTCATTGTCGGTAAAAGTAAGACGAAAGTAAAACCCAGCAGCAATGAAATTCTTTGAGGCAGCAGACTCCGGAGTCCCACCCAACATGAACGTTAGCGTGGGATGCTGATACCTCATCTACGCTCCAAGCGCCCCAAAACCACTCCTGGACAATGTCACCGTCCGCAGGTCTCCGCGCCGCGGCTCTTGAGGCGCGAGCCGCGCTCGACACCGCGCCAGCACGCTCAAACGCGCCCGCGTCATCAGCGGCGTGCCCCGGCGTCAGACGCCCCGCCGCCTCACCCTTGTACTCGGAGATGCAGGGGAAGCAGGTGGTGAGCTCGGAGCCGGCCTGGTTGGTGTGGCAGCGGTCGCAGCGCAGGTAGCGGCCGTCGGTGAGCACCACCACCGGGCCGCTCGTCGCCAGGTGGTGCAGCACCTCGTCGACCGGCACCGCGCGCCGCTCCACGGGCACGCCCAGGCTGGCCGCCTTGGCGAAACGCTCCGTGACGCGGGCCGCGTCCTGCAGCGAGAGACGGCCAGCTGCCATTGGTCCTGCGCGGGCCGGCGCCGGTGGGCAGGGAGCCAGCACTGCCTTGTGGCCCGGTGCGGAGGCTGGCACTGGGTGCCGGCGGGGTGCTGTAGGCTTGACTTGGTGCTAAATTCTGACTGGGTGTGTGGCGCAGCGCGGCAGCCGGACAGCTGAGCACGCTAGCGAGCACACCCACCGCGCACAGGACAGCCTCACAACAACAATGCTACAGGGACATCACACAACTCTGACGGGGCAGAGATATCAAGTGTTATGTTGCCAGGACCTAACGATACGGGACAAATCCATACGCCGCGGTGGCAGAGCAGAGCAGAGCGCAAGTCACGACAGCGGCGGCCCATCTCACACAGTCTCACCTGTGACCAATCTTACCATTCGCAATACGCGGCCGTAGCCGTAGAAGCTCTGCCGCCTGTACCCTGGGTCTATGCCCAGCGTCAAGGTACAGTACAGCTGCCGCACGCCGAAACGGTGCAGGAGGTACACCAGGTCGATCGTCCACGTGCTGAAAACGTCACCCACGTCATTTGACGCCGTGGCGCTATCCACGTCACTTGATGCGTTAACGTCATCCGCGTCACTTGACGCGCTAACGCCATCCACATCACTCAACGCGTTATGTCATCCATCTCAACCCCGCGTCCAAGAAGCGCCGAGCATAACCGACAGTACATTAGTCTGGACAGGCCTTGACCGATTAAGATCCACGCCACAGGCAAATGGGGCATCGATCAGTGACAGTACCAACAATGAAGACAGGCACACCACTACGCTTATTCGTTTCCGATGCCTTGCCTTTTGCCGAATCCCTCGTCGTGGCAGACGCTCTGGAAGTTTTCGATGAAGTGGTTGCGCTTGGCCTCCGGCAGGACCATCATGATGCAGGCGAGGCCGCAGTCCCAGCGATGGCGCTGCTGTACCGACACCACCTGGGGCCGCTGCGCCCGCTCTGGAAGATCCTCCGGCACTGCCGGTGACGGCACACCCGTTCAGGTACTCCGGACATGAGCGGACACCACTAGGGAACGCCGCACTCGCACTGACACTTATTACGTCACCGTGGTTCATGGTGCGCATGACCAGGGTGGCTACGACGGAAGCGCATAGCCTTACGCTTATCGCATCCACGCGAGTTACGATGGAAGTATCATACATTCTTGACAAGTCACTGCCACATTTCTGTCAGTGAGGAAGGCGAACCATTTTAGAATTACACTCACCGTCTCGTGGGAAAATACGTCAAACAGGTCACACAGCCTTCATTACCCGGTGAACGTGACAACTACCAAGTAGAGCCTTACCTTGAACGCTCTGAGGAGCAGGCCCCGTTCTTGGCATCTCGACCAAATCGAATAAACGGGGTCTTGATGTGGTTAGGTCCTCTCAGCTCAGATGGTGCATGATTCCAGTGGCCTGTAAAGAACAAAACTGGATGACGATTTCGATTGCATAACAATGGTCTCACGCTGTCAGAACACTACAGTAGTGGGTAACACCCAAGTGTGTAAATACATCCTGTTTTTCTTCATGCTCTCAACCGATGATAGGCGCTTCCGGGTGTCTTGACTTGCGCTAAACGACAGGTTCTTCCCAGCATGCATCAGCCCGCTTTTGAAGGATATCTGGCAAAGGCAGTTCAAGAGACGCGTGACATACTTCAAGACCGCTAGGGTTCTGATGTCAATGTGAATATTTCTACTAATCATGCTTTAAACCTGTCAGTATGCGTATATATGCCGGATGATTCTTCAAAAATGCACGGTTGACCAGTGATTTACCCATCCGTCCGGCACACGGATGATAAGACTAGGAAACGAAACGCACGCTGTTGTCATAAAATCGTGATAATGGGTGCCAGGCCACGGTTTCGCATTTGGTGTAAACAACGAAGCAGTTCAAGATTTCCTTCAACCTGCTACTATTTTTTCCTTTTTGTCCACAGGCTTTAATTGGCTTTCACTGTTTATTAATCACCATGTGAGCGGATGCAGTTTAACAAGTAGCGATAGCACGAATGTTCTGAAAAAAAACATAGACTACTGTGTCCACTTTTCACGTAACCACGAGACACATACATAAAATACAATGGAAAAAATGGCAGACTCTTGGATGCATCACAGCTTCGAACATGAAGCATAACCACCACTCCCACGTACAGTTTTCTCCGGAGTCCAGACCACCTGCCACGCATGCTCTGAGCCAGCCGCCCGGCACCGAGGGCCGGTCAGAGTCCGAGCCGTTCCGGCGACCGCCGCAGGGCCATCTGCCCCGCCCGCTCTGAGCCAGCCGCTCGGCATCGAGGCTCGGTTAGCGCCCGAGCCGCTCCGACGGCCGCTGCAGCCGCCGCAGCGCCATCTGCCCCGCCTGCCCTGAGCCAGCCGCCCGACATCGAGGCCCGGTCAGCACCCGAGGCGCCCCGGCGGCCGCCACAGGGCCATCTGTCCGCCCGCTCTGAGCTAGCCGCCCGGCATCGAGGCCCGGTCAGCGCCCGACGCGCCCCGGCGGCCGCCGCAGCGCCATCTGTACACTGAACAGCTCGTTGCGGACGGAGCGGATGGGCAGCACGTGGCAGCCGTCCTCGGGGGGCGGCGGCGGCGCGGCGGCCACCGTCAGCAAGAACCCCTCCGTCTGCTCCAGCGTCTCGCTGCGACAGCGCGCCACCGTCGCGTGCACGCGGAACGTGGAGTCGGTCGGCGGCGCCGGGCAGTCGGCCAGCGTGGCGTACAGTCCCAGCAGCAGGCCGCTGAGTGTCGCCTCCAGCCGCGTCAGGTACTCGTCCCCGCGCACCGTGTAAGCGTCTCCGCCCAGGACGGCCAGCTCGATGGTAACGGTCTCAAACGTTCGGCCGCCCGGGTCGATAACGACGATTGCGAGCTCCTCCAGCAGCTGCTCCTGCAGGTAGGGCCGCAGCGACGACAGCGTGCTCGCGATGTACTCGTTTACCTCCTTGTGCACCGACATCTGGACAGGCACCTTGTACTTCTGCCTCTTGCGGAAGATGGCCTCCGGATACAGCTTCCGTAGGTATAAGATGGAGTGCAAAGCAGTTTCCACAAACTCTAAGATGAGGTCACAGGCCGCCATTTCTGTGTATTTGGGCCGTGCCTGGGTGATGACGATCTTCTGGCTTTCCCAGCTAATGACACTTGCAAGGCAGTGCCTGAAAGATGCCGATCAAATATGCCATGTGAAAATGATTCGAGAGACTTCCCAATAATATACACCAAATGTAAATCATGGCGATAAACTGAAAAATGTTATGTCAGCTTGCTGCTTCAAAGTTAATTTGCTGTTCAAAACCATACAGAATTGGCTGCTGTAGTGATTGCAGGAAATCATGGGGCATCAAGTTTGATAAAAGTTGGTGTCCCTGGTCAGTTACATGTAGCTTAACATTCCAAAACAGGCTGAGGGCCCTCAACCCTTTGATCCCTCAGATCAAATATAAATGCATAAACACAAGCACACATAAGGCAAAGTATAGTGATGTGCCATTCCATGTGAGCCTGTGAACCAAACTACAGCTTTCCTGAAAAGCTGTATGAAAGCAAAGGTGTTTAAAATACTGCAATATACTAGGGATGTCACAGCCTTTACTGATGTACTACAGTTCCAATGCCTAAACTAGGCTGCTCCAGATGCCATTGCAGGATCCATCCAGAGCCCAGATCCTTTTCATTGTAAATGATATGCAGCAGAGGGTGTCATATTTTGGATCATAACAGAAGATGCAACTCTCAGGGAACCAGTGACCCTCTGATGTCCTGCTTTTACTCATATCTTAAAAGCTTCAGTCAGGATAGGAATACAATACTTGGTGACCTTCCAGGTCATCAGTTAAGCTACTAACTTTAGTACTTTTGGCAATACTCTGTACTGAGGATATTTGTCTCTATGAGCATCAATAAGTGAGCATAAACACCCAAATAGAGCAGTATACAGCCATGAAAAATGTGTGTAATAAAGGCCATCAGTGGAGCAGCTGGTTTTTTGGGCATCTCAATGAAATTATTTAACTGTTTCTAAACATCTGGAAATAAGCATAAAATCCTCATAAAGCTGGAATCAGCTATGTATAATGTTTACAAAACCAACAAACAGGATCTAGCATGATAGATTACATGGAGGACCAAATATTGTGACCTTGCTTTACCTTGACAAAATGCATACAAAGCCTGCAGATACCTAACTTCAATGCACACATGAAACTTGTGAACAGAGGCATACACCAGCATATAACCCCACACACCTCCCTTCATACAAACAGCCTACCTATCAACTGATCCATATTGAAATGAGATTCCCAGGCAAGCAGCCTATTTTAAATTGCTCACCAAGGCACATCATAGCTTATCTCCAGAATGATCTAACAAGCTGAAAAATTACAGTAAAAATATGAGGGTGAGATGGTACTCACCATAGCAGGGCTTTCTGAGAGCTGCTACATGGTCACAAGTCATGCAATGCAAGGCCCCTTCCTGACCACAACTTGGTGTGCTTACCTGTTTGTCAAGCTGGTAACCACAAGCTTTGTGCTATTGAGCAATATGAACAATTTGTGAAAATGATCCTGGTCACTTTAAGACTCACAACTGATGAAATTCAAGATGCTTAAAGGTGAATGGCAAAATAATAAGTGTCAAATTGTTCAGCAGTAATTTTGTACTTTATCAATGCAGTGGGAATAAGCCAAATCAGTGGGATCAAATCCAACAGAACAAAGAGAACTTACCAAAACCATTCTTTCATTTACACAAGGTGTTATTTGCCCTGTAACTTCTCTTGAGACTGCACCTTTCCCACTCACAGACCATCATTTAATAGTCACAGCGGGCGCGGGCCTATCCCACCCACCCCTTTAGGCATCTGTGCCACGCGGAACAGGAAACCAGATGTCATACAAAACGTGCAAATAACCCAGGTTTTAAATCTTTACCTTTCCAAAAATATCAGTCGTGCCCAAGTCGCCACAACTCACATCCCCCGGTCACTTCGCCTGCCTCCCACCCTCTCTATTCACAAGCGCAGTGTCCGCGAACGCGACGAAACTGAGACATCTGAGATAGCCCGCGATGGCTCAGGGCTACTGTATGCGAAGGTCACCGTCTGCAGCTTGGCCTGCGGCTGCGCGGGAGTGTGGATGTGCTCAGGGTAAAAATTGTACTAGACTGACCACGATGGGCTTAGACACGGCCTTCTTGGCTTCATCCCCGGTGCTGGACGGCGATCGCGCGTCTCTTGGGTGGCTTAACCTACCCCGGCCAGGACCATTGAAGTTAGGTTAGCCAGTCTCCAAGACCCGCTGACTGCCCTTGAACAAATGGGCTGTTTTGCTTCCGCCTCGGCCTCAATCCTTTGCCAGGGTTCTTGACCGCAAGGACGAATGTCGCGACATTTTCGGCATTAATCTGTGGAGTTCCGGCCCCGCTATGTAAATAACCCCGCGCGGCATGCCGGGCGTGCCTCTCTCCAGCAGCGTCTGTCAGTGCACTGATAGATCCCCTGCCGTGTTACGGAGCCGAATAGTCGTCCTCGTCACCCACAGACCTTCTCCCGCGGTTGCAATTTTGCCACCTTTAGGCATAGTGTACTCGGAGGTCTTTCGGTCACGGCTAACTATTTGAAGACTGTAGGAAAAGGGAGAGGCAATATGTGGGACAACTGCCGCCATGCTTGGATGCCACGCTAGTTCCACCCTGCACCCTACGTCGGGGGTGCGAGCGGGCGCCTGGACATGGCTTCTTTCCAGGACGGCCGTGAGGACAACTCAGCGGATGATAGCCGCAGCATGACTGCGTGACGGAGTTGCAGCATGACTGACTGAGTCGCAGCACGAATGGGTGACGGAGTTGCAGATGAAACGACACGGCGGTCATAAGTACGACAGACGGAGGTGACGCAGGGTGAGGAAGGGTGAATTTTTCTGTTATCACTCTTCAGTTTTTTGGGGGGGCTATTACTGATATAAATTTGCTTAGCTGCCCCGGCACTCTTATACCATGCAAATAAACTTAACAGAGCTGAACATGTCAGTCGTTTATTTACAAGACCGGTTACATGTGCACGGATGAATAAAACAGTCGAATATTTACACAATTTGTCGTTGAGCATAATAGAGTTAGCATGAGGCGTTGACCCAACACAGAGCGACGTCGAGCTATGGGAAGGTCGTCACATAGAAAGATCAACAAACGATATAGCCTTCGAAGGTCTGTACATAATTCATTTCCTATGTTGCAGGACACGATACGCACCTGACTCTGTACAACCTAGAACCAAAAGTTCCCACTCCTCGGAATAAACGATTTTATAAACTATCCTTACCTCTCAATAGAAGTCCATTTTAATATTATTCATCTTAACTTACACAGGAACAATCTTACAAAACACCACTACTCGGACCCAACGGATGAAACACAGTCTGATATCATTCACTCATGCACCCCGGACGTTGCATATTCCACGCCGCTGTTGACGATTCGGCCGTGTTTTGTATCGGTGTGCCAGCTGGCGGGGAGACTGGTGGGCGCCGACCGGCCCCGAGCGGTTCGGACCAAATTGGACAGTTTCTACCGAAAATACTGATTGGTTGGATTCATTTGGTAGGAAAGATACCAAGCAAAGCACCCCTGAGATTCCCTGGTGTCAACACAAAGGTTAAAACGCGGCTCCTGCGCGCCTCCCACCCATTATGCACGCGCCTCGCGCGGAGCCTGGGGTCCGTCTCCCGCGGACGGCGGCCAGGGGCGTAGTAACAACCAACACCGAAACAGGTGGTGCATATCCTCCCGCGCGGCCCTCCCTCTCACGCACCTGGAAACAACTGGGCGCCGACTGCCGGCGCCGGGCGCGCTACTGCACTGCCGCATGACATGCATCAATAATTATCACAAACATTATTCGCGCGCCGGGCTGGGGCGGCTGGGGCCGGGCGCCGCCGGGCGTCGCCTCGCCCCCCGCGCCACAGGCACACGCTTCGCTCCGCACGCGCTCCGCGTCAATAAATAACTACACCACGCCGCGGCGGCGGCGGCGGCGGCAAGTGAGGCCGGGTCAGCGGGCGGCGTAAAAATGTAAAAATATTTGATTTGGGTGATGGGTGGCGGGCGGCGCGGCCGGCGGCGGCCGCCCGCCACCGGCCGCGCGCGCGCGGACAGAGACCGGCCGACCGGACGCCGGGCACGGCGAGGCTACAGCATGGCGGCCATGGCGGCGTACAGCTGCACCAGCAGCTGCATGTGGATGGGCAGGCAGGAGCGGCGGTCCTGCGAAGCCGGGTCCAGCGCCAGCCACGACAGCCGGTTGTAGTTCTCCAGCACGTGCCTGTCGAGGGACCGCCGGTCCGTCAGTCGATCGCGCAAGTCGTCACCGCAGAAAGTCGGACGGGTCAAACGCGCCCGGCACCGACGCCGACGGGCGGCCGCAGCATAACCCGTGGTGCGGTACATGTGACGCAGGCCTCATATAAATTATCTCGCCCGGTCATCGCCGTACGTACGGAACAATAGAACAAGGCACGACACGCAATATACCATAACAGCCGCTTACCACGGATTTGACTGGTTGGGCCAATAGTGCCCTCCCCCCCCCCCCCCCCCCACCCCGCCTGGTGGAAACGGCGACCAGTGAAAGATTCCTGCGGAAGCCGTCGAACTTGGAACCCTTGATCCGGAGCCCACCATCAGACCAGACAAGCCACTGCCGTCCGCACGTTACTGCACTGCGCCAAAGCCGGCGCCTGGTGCCCCGCGGCGCGCGCTCACCTGAGAACGTCGGTGGTGGTGCTCGAGTCGAGCGGGTGCACCTTGACGTGGCACGGCTGCTGCAGCATGTCCTCCGAGTTCTGCGTCTGGCAGTGCAGGTGCAGCGCCGACTTGAGGAAGACGGCCGTGTTGTGCTGCATGTGCGGCGCCGCCGCCCAGAACCAGGCGGGCATGGGCCCCGTGCTGGCCGTGGACGGGAAGTAGCCGAGCGCCAGCGGCTGCTGCAGTACCGTGCCGAACTCCTCCTGCTCCTCGTCGCCACCGCCCTGCAGCGCGCGCGCCAGACCACGTCAGGAGACACGGACGGAACCGGAGGCAGACCGCGACGCCATCAAGCCGAACACGGATGTGCTACGACCACCTTGTGCGACGCACGCACCCGGAAGGATACAACAGATCCGCACAGCCCTGCGCAGGCACACATGGGACCGACGACCATGGCCGCACATTCGGTTAGGGATGGAACAACATAGACCTCGCATGAGGCCTCCGACCCAGCCTCTCGCTTTCGTGAGGCAACAAGTTACGGGCCAGTCCAACACAACCGTCCAACAACGTAGCAACACGGTTCCCCACGGACGCGTGCTCTACTTTCAACGGAGCTGCCACGGCACGCCACACCACGCCCGGCGGCGTGGCCTCCTGCAGCTGCGCTCGCCGCTGCCACGACCGCGCGCGCGACTCACCCGCTGCCCGCTGCCGTTGGAGAACGGTCCCTGCTTGCCGAGGCCCGGCAGGCCGCCGCTGGGCGAGGCCGTCGGCCGCTCATCGGTCGGACTGCCGATGTCGCCGCCGCCGAACGAGTCCTCCCAGTTGAGGTCGAGGTCGTCGAACAGCGTGCCGTTGCCGATCAGGTCTCCGTCCTCGTCGGCGTTGATAGCCTGCAGCAGGTCCTCCTCGATCAGCTCCGAGCCCAGCGGGTTGATGTGCTCCTGCTGGAACGCCGTCTGCGAGCACTGCGTCGTGGCCGACGTGGGGAAGACCATGACGTGCGTGCAGGAGGCGTCGTGCGGCGTGCTCAGCGCGCCCGCCGACGGCTTCTGGACGCCGTCCTCCGGCGTGCACTGGTCGTACATGAGCCGGTGGCAGGCGTCCGGCTCCAGCGAGACCACGCACGCCGACAGGATGGTCGGCATCTCGGAAGCCGGCAGGTGCTGGCAGTGGCGGCACATCTCGCGCAGCTGCTTCGAGAAGCGCGTCAGCGACTTGCGGCTCAGCACAGAACTCCAGCCTGGAACGGGGCGCAGGTGTTGACCGTCGGTCGGCAAACTACGGGACCTGACGCTGCGAGATAGCACCACAGCAGCCAACAGGGCACTTACAGTACCATCATCAAAGAAATACGACGATACGAACGTGATTGTAAGCCGCAGGACCACCATCACACGGTTTGCCACGCGAGGGAGCAATGCACCGCCGGCCGTGCGACGGCCCCACCGCGTGACGTCACTCACTCTTGAGCTCGCCGTGTCCGATGCGGCCGAGCCGGCCGACCACCAGGCGCCAGGGGTGCACCGACTGCACCATGATCTGCAGCAGCCAGTCCATCAGCTTCTGCAGGCCGATGCGGCGGGCCGAGATCTTGCGCCGCCGCAGCCGGTTGGGGATGTGGATGTTGATGGCGATCGTCTGGCGCATCTCGCCGCGTTCGTCCGTGCAGCCGGCCAGCAGCCAGCGCTGGTCCTCCGACAGGCAGTAGCTGCAGAACAGCGTCGACGTGGTGTCGCGCGGCGACGTCAGCACCTCCGACTCCTTCTGCGCGTCCGGCAGCGGCGCCAGCATGAACGTCGGGTTGTACATCTGCAGGGTGGCGCCCTGGTCCTGCAGGACGGGAGGGCGGCGTCAGTGGTGACACCCATGGAGTGGCGGCGTAGCTCAGATATGTGGAACAAGTCGTGGCGTCTGATGGGGACGCGGGGCTGCCGGGCGTCATGGGGCGAACAATGAAAACGGATTATAAGTTTCTCCATGTTTACCAAATGAGAGATGCAGATGCTGAGTTACATACTGTCCGAGCAACTGGATTTAGAACACGAATGAAAAACTTACTATTTTCGATCTGAGCCACACAACTAAGGTGGCTCACACATAACTTAAGAGCTCACAAGTCACCGAAGCCCTATGCCACAAATTCGCTTACCGCTAACCGTACCAACAACGGCCACTCGACACCGCACGCCTAAACACTCGTGTATAGTACGATCGCACAGAGCCACTGCCGACTCGCCTCCCGCTCCATGCTCCGGGGACTGACCTCCCGGCCCTTGAGCCGCTGCTCAGCGGACGCCGTCGGCCCGAACCCAGTCAGCGAGTTGGCCGAGCTGGCGCCGCAGAAGGTGCGCTTGCACTGCGAGTAGACGGTGAAGGCGAGCGAGCGCAGTCGCTCGCGCTGCTGCGCCCCGTCCAGGTCGCGCCACGGCGAGAGGATGCTCTCCAGCGAGATCACCTGGTAACAGGGGATGGGTCAGGACCCAGGTCTGATATACATCCCGCCGCGGGGGACGGCTGGAGCCCTCCAGCAGTCACCTGCCCTAACAGGGGTCTGGTACACATCCCACCGCGGAGGACGGCTGGTGCCCTCCAGCAGCCACCTGCCCTAACAGGGGTCTGGTACACATCCCGCCGCAGAGGAAGGCTGGTGCCCTCCAGCAGCCACCCGCCCTAACAGGGGTCTGGTACACATCCCGCCGCAGAGGAAGGCTGGTGCCCTCCAGCGGCCATCTGCCCTAACAGGGGTGTGGTACACATCCCGCCGCGGAGGACGGCTAGTGCCCTCCAGCAGTCACTTGCTTTAACCGGTTGACGTCTGTTCCACGACCTGGAGGACGGGGGATGAGGGGCGTCTAGACCACCAGGACATGCAGGACTGCTGTTTACTCCAAACCAACACGCGATATTGCACCACACCATAAAAACAATAAGGACTGAAAAGTTGATTGCTTTTTCAAGTAAGAGAACTGATTGTCACGACACGTCACCACTTCTCTTGTGCGCGGTCAAGAAATTCTCTTAAGATACTTGAGGAATAATATTGACATCAGATAAAAATAATAATTATTTTTAAGCACATGTAGATGATGGAGCTCCAAGAACCGATTAAAGAAGTCAACCATTCGTATGAACACGTAAAAAATCGCGTGAAATGCCGAATTCAGAGTACTGTCAACGCATCCGCTTAAGTCTCCATCCATAAACGAATCAATGTTCCAAACATCGATCCCCTGCTTAAGCCCATGCACGAGCACGCCCCCACAATCTCAGCGGGACCGCCTCACCGCCGCCGTGCGCACACGGCGCTCACCCACCTGCAGCGTGATGTTCTTCTGCATGGTCTCGGGCAGCGTGGAGCGCATGTGCAGGTAGGCGCGCAGCAGCGCCACGTTGATGAATCGCTCAAACGCCGACAGCTGCGCGCCGTACGTGAACGGGTCGATGAAGTAGACCACGATCTGCGGCATCTCGCCGCTGCCGGGGGCCACGCCGCCGCCCGGCGTCGGGCCGTAGTTGACGCCGCCTCCGTCCACGCCCAGCCGCGTGCCGTGCATGTCGTCTGTGGACGGCGGGCGGTCGGTCAGGCGTCGGCACGGCGGGGTCACGCGGCGCGCAGAGCGTGGCTACCAGCGGTCACGGCGGCGGGCGGACCGACCGCGTCATCCCGCTGCCGAGCACCCTGACGCCGCGTCCGGACCCAGCCGGCCGGCCGACGACGCGCGTCAGGCTGACGCCGCGTCCGGACCCAGCCGGACCGCTGACAACATGCGCCAGGCTGGCGCCGCGTCCGGACCCAGCCGGCCGGCCGACGACGCGCGTCAGGCTGACGCCGCGTCCGGATCCAGCCGGACCGCTGACAACACGCGTCAGGCTGACGCCGCGTCCGGATCCGGCCAGACGGCCGACGACGTGCGCCAGGCTGACGCCGCGTCCGGATCCAGCCGGACCGCTGACAACACGCGCCAGGCTGGCGCCGCGTCCGGACCCAGCCGGCCGGCCGACGACGCGCGTCAGGCTGACGCCGCGTCCGGACCCAGCCGGACCGCTGACAACACGCGCCAGGCTGACATCGTGCTCAGCTGCGGCACGACCACTCGCCGGCGGGCGGCGCCGATGCATCCCACTCACCGTCGCTCATCTTAGGCGTGGCCGGAGCGCGGTCGTGCGCGTCCGGGGTGGCCGGCGGCGGCATGGGCGAGGGCGCCGGCCGCTCGCGCTCCACGCCCCGCTCCATGGACGTCTGCAGGTACGGGCCCACGTAGTGCCGGCAGTACTGGAACGGAGCGGCACCGGGTCAACAGCGGCACGCCGAGGCGGTGGGGCGCGGCCGAGCTGCCGGGCACTGACAGCGGCAACATCGCGACCGTGACCCCCGCCGACGGAAACCGGCAGCCAGCACGCAGTGCGCCGACGTATGAAACAGGCCATTTTCGATGGCCAGCATCCGCGCAAAGTTCGAAGGCGTCCAGAGCTTCGGAGCAATTCTAAGAATCCATACGACTGAGTTATGACAAAATCAGCCTCACACAAGCAGATGTTCTGTTGCAGGCAGCAGCGTGGAGAGAGATCCATGTCCTCAATCTATATGACAACTGATTACGGTATGCAAGCTTCATCATCAGTCATCCCTCACCAATCACTCCTTTAAGCGGTCCTCAGCGCTGTGCCCTGCCATTCACCTGCGCGTAGAGCTTGAGTTTGGCGGCCACCTGCGAGTCGCCCAGGTGGTTGAACCAGTCCTCCACGTGCAGGTTGGCCAGCTTGGTGGCGGCGTTGCGGTTGATGCGCAGCACACCCTCCGGGCACGAGCTGCCGATCGGTACATGGCGGCCCAGCTGGCACGAGTCGTACGTGCTGCTCAGCTCGCGGAAGAAGTTGCGCACGCGCGACACGATGAACTCGTTGTCGCCGGCCGGCGTGACGACCAGGTAGGCCACGTGGCGCGCGGCCGCCACCGGCTCCAGCAGCAGCTGGTCCCAGTGGCGCAGCGAGAACGGCGACGTCGACACCCACTCGCCCTCGTGGCCCACCAACAGCGTCGGGATCGGCTGCGGCGTGCAGTGGTCGTCCGTGCCTGCGGCCGGTGAGAGCCGGGTGATCACGTGATGCTGGACAGGCGGCATCGGGCAGCCGGCGTGCGCCCGGACAGCGCGGGATGTCATGCTTGGTCGGTTTTACGACGCACGTGCCTGCTGTCGTTATTGGTGTGGTTTAGCTGTCACGCCGACCGCAGCGGGAAAACCTCTTAGTGTCTCTCACTGCACAGCACAGTCCTGTGCAGTTACTGTGCCCCTACCGCCATCGCTCCTCGAGCCTACGTCCTTGCAATTGCGTCCAGACTGCTACCGCAGAGTTACGTGATTGAACTTTCAATGTCCCAACTGAGGTCACCGCCAGGCTACACGATATATGAGGGGCAACACATCACACAAGCTGGTGATAACAACTTTTTACAGCCTCGATAAAGGACGAGGAAGCACAGTCCATAACATGAGGGCAAACGAGAGCCGTCCACGTCCGTCCACCTCCACGTCCATGATGACGGGTCCCAAACGTTACTTCTCTACAACAGGGCGCTACGCGCCACGCCGGGTTTCAGAATGGCCCAGATGTTAACACAAGACGACACTACAGCAGAATATGGGTGAAGAAAGGCCAGTGCTGAAACACTACTCGACGCCCGGTCTTATCCAGGCGCGACGTCCTGCCAACAGGTCCCATGACGCAACAGAACATTATCAACGCCAAGCTGGGTACCGCTCAACACCCATTTCTATTAGCATTGGTGCCTCGCGCGGGTCGGCTGCTGCGTTCACCCTTCAAAGCCTCGCACCGTTGACACTTTGGTTTAGCCGCGCAATATTTCATGCTTCACGGCAGTGCACCCCGTGCCCCAATTCCGTCAAGGCAATCTGGACGTCACTCCACACGCGCCGCCGACTGTCACTTCAGAGCGCGAAACCTGACGGCTGTAAACCGCACGAGTCCCTTGCCTCTTCCGGACATCTGACAGCGGGGATTGGCACGCGACTAGCCGTCAGTCCGAGGTCACGAGTGGAGTCAGGGGTAATTTAGAATCCCCTTCTAAATCAAAATAATAAGCTCCTACATGCACATAACAATACAATCCACTCAAAAACAGTAATCGAGGATGAGAAGGCAACGTGTTCAAGAGTAACACTTGTGCAGAGCACTGGCTTACACTTGAGGTTGGTAAATGGAGTGTACATAATATATTGCCACAACTAAAATTGCCAAAAATTGTAATGTTTTACATCTGCCATCTGTCCATTTATGTACTATGGTCTATGTGCACCATGTATGTCCGTACTATGCATGTATCTGTCTGCATCTATGCATCTATGTATATCTACTATCTATACACTGTTCTACCTCTTCTACGATATCTCCTCACTTCGTGCAACCATGCACATAAAACAGCGAACAAACTGTTGTTCGCGCAATACCCAAACACCGCGACATACCTAGATGGATATACCGATCTACATGGTCGAGTGGGACCAGAGGCATTATAGGATTACGGCCATCATGACAACAGGACATAAATTCTGCACGGAAGGCAAAACATTTGGATGAACACGGCGTTCAGCAAATATACGACAAAATTCCTGTTTATCAATTCAATTCCTAATGCCACCAAGTTATCTATGCCTCATTCTAGTACCATTATCCATTCCTCATGCCACCACAAAACACCAACTCAAGTTCGTCGCCTGGGTTTCTCAAGATATGTTGTTTGCCACGTTACGTGATATTCTGCAATTGGCCAACTCTCGTCCGTCCCTTTGTTTTTAGTGGCCGAACTGATGGCCGCAAAGCTGGACGCAATGTACGCCTGATCAAAAGTGCTCAATCTCTCCGGAAACGTAGCGTCCTGTGAGCCCGCACGGGCGTCAGCGCGCGTCCCAGCGTTCATGTGAAGCACCCGTGAACAGGGTCCGAAAACTAAAACAAAAACAAAAACAAAGCAGCCCACAAACACGCGTAGCAAAATAGATCGCTCTTATGGCAATTTAACACCGTTCCACACCCGCATAATTCAAGGGCCCTCTATGGTATTTCAATACTAAAAACCCAGACCGCCCGCAGGCATGACTTACCACATGGCATCCCACCAAGCCGTATCGTGTCCTTGACATAACTTGATGTTATGCCATTATTTCATGCTACCTATGACCTAATAATTGAAGGACCATTACACTGCATTATCACTCAAAAACTTTTCGCCACACCCGAGCTGCCCTCACCCCGCCCGCACACACATCACTGACAGAGCAGCAGCAGCCATCAGCGGGGACTCACCTCGGCCGGCTAGCCGGTGGAACTGCCGCCAGGTCAGCGGGCCCGACACCAGGTACGTCGACTCCCACAGCTTGGTCTGCCGCTTCTTCTGGATGGCGTCCTGCAGGTGCGGCTGCAGCGCGCGCATCACGCGCACGATGTCCTGATTGCACAGCGGGCCGGGCGCGCGCAGGGACGGCCACCGGTGCATGACACTGCGCTGCTTGGCCTCGGGCGGCGCCGGCCCGGAGCCGGTGCGGAACATCTCCATCGCGCTGCGCACCACGTTCACCGCGTCCGTGTACTCCAGGTAGCTGACGGCCGGGGCGCCGGCCGCCGTCGCCGCCGCGTTCAGGTACTTGAAGGCCGTGCGGTGCACGATGTTGACCATGCTGGGTGACGTGAGGCACTGCTCCTGGATGAGCTGCAGCAGCTCGGGCGGCACGGCGTCCACCAGCGGGTCGGGCTCGACGCGCTCGCCGGGCCGCAGCGGCGCCAGCAGCGGCGGCTTGGTGCGCTCGTACTGCACCTCGCGCCGCTCGCCCGTCAGCTCCACCTCGTCCTCGAGGAAGAGGCCGCTGCGGTAGGCCAGCGCCCGGTTCACCACCGCGCTGTAGCCGCACTTGCAGCTGACCGGCTCCTCTGAGTCCGCCTTTGTACTATCCGGGATATAGAGTCCGGCCTCCTTGCCGCGAATGTTGCCCACCCGGTTGGGGCCGGCGTTGCACACGCACATTGTACAGCTATCGAAGTTGTGATCGTGGAACAGGTTGAGCATCGAGTCCTCCAGCAGCACGTTGATGAGCAGCGCCGGCACCTCGGGCGCCTGCAGCGTCAGCAGGCCGGCGGCGTCGGCGGCGGCGCGGCCCGGGAAGCCGGCCGACGTCGACGCCGGCGACTGGGGCTCAAACGCGCCGCCGCCACCACCGCCGCCGCCGACCGAGTGCGGCCCGCCCACCGAGTGCGGTCCCATCGAGGCGGCGCCCACCGAGCCGGGACACGACTTGAGCGAGGCCGGACCGCCGTCGTAGTGGCCCGGCGAGAAGGGCGACAGGCCGTGGCGCGGCGTCGATGCCGGCGGGTGCGTCAGCATGCCCGTCTGCGCCATCTGGTTCATCGACTGGATGGGGCCGGGCGGCAGCGGCTGCGGCACGGGCAGCGCCCCGGGCGGCGGCGGCCGACTGCGGGGCGGGACAGCTTGGCGTCAGGCACAGCAGGCAGACGGCGCGCACGGCGAGACATGCGACGGGCCGGTCGAGCGAGAGAGTCACAGGACGGCGCAGACCCTCGCCTGACGCAAGACGGCGAGGCACGGAACAGCGCGAACACATGACGGACGTGGCGCCGATATCACACAGAACGAGCCCGTGACAGTCAGCTAAGCTCAACCGTCAACGGCTTCCCCGAAAAACCAACGTCGTGGCCAAAACGGACTCGGCCAGCGCGCGGCGCACCCCAGCGAAAGCCGGCACTTCACGGTGCCGACCGCATCTCGAGCGTGACACGACCCTACGTCACGCCATGGAGGCCCCACTGCACACCCGCGCCGTGCCCCACTCCCGCTCTGCAGCCGCCGCGCCCATCTGTTTGTAGAAGGGGCGGGGCGGAGCAGGACGGGGCGGGGACGGGGCTTACCCGGCGAGCGGCGCTTTGCCGAGCGGCGTCGGCTGGCCGTACTGCCAGGAGGGCTTGTAGACGGCGCCCATGGGCAGGTTGACGGGGGACGACTGCTGGCTGGGCAGGCTCTCCAGCGGCGCGTACTTGGGCGAGCTGACGAAGCTGCTCAGCGCCGCCGGCCGGAACACGTACGACATGTCCTGTCGGCGGACGGGCCGCGTCAGACGACCGGTACACGGCCGATGGCGTGTCACATTCCCAGTGCGGTCGCTGGGCTCGGATCGACCCCTCGGGCGTCGGCGCGAGGCTGACGCAGCGGTGCCGGGTGTGAATGTCCCGGCACGTGCTCAGACGGACGATACAGTCGCGAGCTTCCCAGAACACGCTGGTCGGGCGGCGGCCACGTCCGAAAAGGTCATGCTGTTTGATGGTTCCGGCAGGGGCTGACGACAGCAGCTCAACAATGCTCCGCCACAATACGCATTACAAACGGTGCAGGCGATGTGCCCTCCGCGGAACAATGCAGCTGGTGTTCATCGCTATGTCAACAGCCGGGCCTGCACCGCTGATTGCGCATATCGGTTAGACTCCAATCGCGTTTTCAGCGCATCGCAACCAAGCCCCGCTACTTTAGCACAGCATCACCAGCACAGAACGCGCTGTGTTCTGTGAGCAAACTTATCGACCGTGAGCGTGGCAATGAATATATCCCCAGGCCGATTTGCAGAGAGCAATCCCACCAAAAAACAAACAAACAAAAACGTACATGTAACTATGTCACGGACTTTCTTACCATTACACCAGCAGCCACCCCTAACCGAGCAATTTAACCAGCCACCCCTAACCGACCAATGCAATTGCGACAAACCTCACCCACAACCGAGCCTCTCCACGTCCGGCGCCGCCAGCCTGTCGGCTCCCGAGTCTCTCCCGCCACGTACCGTGCGTTCGGGGGGCGGTAGCGGCCGGTCGTCCATGCGCTCCGCCTTAAAGCCGACCAGCGCCGCGGCCTCGACGTCGGCCGGTGCGCCCTCGTAGTGGCACACCGGCGACGCGCTCGGGTTGTGGTTGTGCTCGTGCGACGGCGGCGTCGGGTAGATCTTGGAGAGCTCGATGCTGTTGAGCACGGCCGTGGCGGCCGGCAGCGCCGTCTTGGCGTGCGGCCGCGGCGGCTCTTCGCCGGCGCCGTTCGGCTTGTTGGAGCCGGGCGGCGTCGGCGCCGCCGAGTCGTCGGCGTCCGAGTGGTCGTCGAACAGGTTCTCCAGGTCGGCCAGCTTGGGCTGCAGGCCCTCGGTGGTGAAGAGGCTGTCGGCCTTCACCTTGGGCCCGCCGGCGTCGTCCGCCTCCGACTTGAGGCCGTCCATGTGCACGCTGGCCGACGGATCGTCGTCGAACTCGTACGGGTCAGCCGGCCGCTTGACGCCGCGCGCCAGCGGGTGCACCGCCGCCTGCCGGCCGGACGGGGTGCCGTCAGGACACACGCCGCCCGGGACACAGCAGCCGAGCCGGTCCCACCAACACGCTGTACTCCGCATGCAACATCCCCACGCTTTACGCTAGCCCAATGTTTGAATGGAATATCGAGGAATTGATCTGCAGCAGCGGCGGCACACGACAGTGTTGAGGAGCATTTGTGGTCGGCATCGGATACTTTTTGCAATAAATTACAGCTGTCTGCGGGCCGGTCACTGAGCGTTTCCGCAAGTCGGTGACCGCGGCGGGGTTGTCGTACCGCGTTCGGCGGCCGGGCGCCGTTGGCCTGAGCGGCCTCGCCCTCCTGCATGGCGCGCTCGGACCGGTCCACCTCGTCCTTGATGCGGCGCAGGAAGGTGGTGCGCAGTTCGGCCGGGCGCTTCACTGGGCAGCTGAGCCTGCGGGCACACGGCCGGTGCGGGCTCACACGGGGCGCGACAGGGAGGGGTGCCGGCCGAGCGGCGCCGGATGCCGACGCCGACGGGTCGGCGCCACATGCCGCCGTCCCGACAGTACAGAGGTGGCCGAGACAGCAGCGGAGCATGGCAGTGACGCAGCCGTCACACACACGCGACACATGGTGCGCGACGCGCGATACGTGACGCGGGAACCCCCGCGGCGTCACGTCCATGCAGCGGCCGATAACAGAGGACGCGCACCCAGCGCCCACGATAAGGTCACGAGGCGGCACCGACACCGCTCGGCGGCGGCGGTTCGCGCCGTGACTGGGCACGTCACGCGGGACGTCCGGCGTAAGCGGTGCCGTTCGGCCTCATCCGCGCGCGCCCCATTCATACAGCGGATGATTTTCACCTCGCCCGGCGACGAGCAGGCGGAAAAGCAAACACCCAGTCCATCTAAACGGCCTTGGGGAGCGAGGGAGACGTGCAAGTAGCGTAACGGCCGTGACGAAAGGAACAAGAAAGCTGGGGCTCGTTGTGCAACAAAGCATTTGTCGCTGGTTCCCATGCGACATCTAGCATCAAACGCTGCAATGATCCCCCTAGCACCGAAAAAAAACAAACAAAAAACAATGCAGCAAAAACAAGCACTGAAAGTTGGCACTTGAAAACATTCCTATAGGCACAGGCGCAAGACCTCCACCTGACACAGATGTGCCCAGTAATCATGTGTACGTAGCGTTATCAGATGACTGCAATGACGTTGCACCGCTTCACAAGTGTGACGGAGTCCGATACGCCGCGTGTTCATGTTGAATGCGCAATAACAAAACAAGCGACGTGGTTCACGGAGCGACTTCACGAGTCGTGGCGACAGTGATCGCTGTTAACACGGTGCGTTAGCGGATGGATGACCAACCTTCCCTCTACAGTGGACAGCAGACGCGACTGGTAAGCCCCAGCAACACGGTAGCCCAGTCCCACCTTACAGGTCGTAATTCCCGAGCAAAGCCGGAAAAACCTCTATCGCGAACACCTGATGCATGATTTTGCTTTGAAAGGCAGTCGCCCGGCAGTGCTAACAAAAATATCAACACCGTCCTTTGCGTTGTAACCGAGCATTGACCACGACCAGCTACACATTGACAGGTGTTGTCTGACCTTGACAGTGTGCTGAGGGACACGACAGCAAATACGTGGCCCCGAACGCGGCTATCACGGCTTTGGACCTGGACTCTCCCGTCGCTTTTGCAACTCGCAACAGCCTGGAATTACCGCGAAAACCCCGCGCTGTGCATGCTTCGCGCCGCTCGCGCCAACGTTGCACCATCCGGTGTTGGAGCGCCGACCGTGCACGAACACGTCACCGATAGCGGAGAAGTCTCCGCGCCGTCCAGACCCAGCGTCAGCCCGCAGCGCGCGGCGGGCCATGGCGCGCGTAGCCCGCCATGGGGACGGGCCCAGCGAGCGTAGCGCAGCGCACTCACCAGAGGTTGACGTCGTGGAAGTCGTACAGATTGGACGAGTCCACCATGTCGACATCTGCCTCCAGCTGGATGGTGGGCAGCTGCGGGCGGCGCAGCAGCTGTGCGCGCAGCGGGCTGGCCGTGGCCGGCGCGGTGGGCGGCGGCGGCGGCGGCGGCGGCTCCGACAGCGGCGCGCCGGCCGGCCGCGGGCTCGGCCCTACCGACGCCGGCTTCGGGTACGGAGAGTACACCGGCGTGGCGGCGGCGCTGCCCGGCTCGGTGGCCGGCTTGGCCTCTGTAGCCGCGTCAGCGCCGGCCGCCAGCGGCGTCACCGGGTTGGGCGTGGCGGCGCTGGGCGTGGGCGGGTGCGGCGACAGCGTCGGCATGGCGTGGTCGGGCGGCACCAGGCACGGCTGCGAGTGGGGCGTCGGCAGCGGCGACGGGCCGACCGACGCCGGCGAGTCCATGGGCCCCACCGACGGCAGGCCGTCCGTCAGCGCCGGCCGCACGCTGCCTGGCGTTGCCACCTGCGACTTGTAGTAGGCCTGCGGCGGCGGCGGCGGCGGCGCGCCGTTCAGCCGCGCCACGCCGCTCACCAGGTCGGCGTCGATGGTGTGCGCCAGCTCCTCGGAGAGCGCGGCGCGCCGGTGACAGACGCCGGCCTTCATGCGCGGTGGCCGCTCCTTCTCCTGCCGCTTCAGGTACTGCTGCTTCTGGCGCACCTTCTTCTTGCAGTTGGCGCAGGCGCACGTCGGCTTCTGGATCGGATCCTGGAAGTCCCACTGGCCGAGCGACTCGGGGCTGTTGTCACCGGCGGCGCTGACGCCCAGCGTGAGCGCGCCGGTGCGGCCCGGCCCGCTGGCTACCGTTGACTGGCGCCAGGCGCGCACCGACACCGCCTCGCTCATCAGCTCGTCGTCGGCGGCGATCTCCAGCAGCGGCCGGCCGGACGCGGCGAACGGCGAGCTGGCGTCGCCGCCGCCGCCGGCGCCGCCTCCGCCGCCGGCCGACGGCGAGACGGGCGGCGTGCTGCCGCCGCCGGCCGCTAGGTGGGTCGACACGCCCAGCGGCCGCATGGCGCCGCCGCCGCCCTCCGGCTCCGTCACCAGCACGTAGCTGGTCAGGTAGCGCATCTTCACGTCACCTGCGGGCACACGCGCGCAAAGGCCGGTCAGCACAGCGTGAGCGGCACGCCGGGCGCGAGAACCGCGTCGCTCAAAGTCTGCTGATATTAGTGATACGATCGGTTATGGAAGTGGCATGCGTTCACACTAAGATAAACCTACAAATGACGACCATCCGAAACCTTCACGTCCGTGTTTGTATCGGCTAGTGCGCTGGCACTGGCAAGAGTGAGGGCAAACTCATCCCGCGGGACCGGTTGCCATTCCGGTAGCGGCTTATGGTCCGGTGACATCCTCACACTCCGACCTTTCCCAGCATCTCAAGCTGACGTCCCCAGATGCCAAACTTGTCCACTATTTATTGATTCGAGATATCGGTCTGTTCTTATGACGGTTCAGTGCCAGGGGTCCAACACGTCCCAACTCGGGAGTTCGCCCCGCCCCGCCCTCCGATCAATGTAGCGCAAGCGCAGACCACAAGTGTAACCAAAAGCACGCGACCGCGAGGAAGCAACAACACAAGCTTATCGCAATCAGATTACCATCACCGCACTCCGAGCTCCGCGTGTCGAACGGATGCTCCACTCTCCGGAGCGGGAGTCGCCCCGACGAACGCGGGAGGGCGGCCGCGAGCCGCGCCGCGCCGCGCCGCGCCGCGTCCCGCCGCGGCCGCCCGGTGCCGCCGCCGCAGCGTCACTCACCGACCAGCACCTCGACGACGACGGGCAAGTGGGGCTCGCGGCCCGTCTGCAGGCTGGCCAGCAGCCGGTTGTCGATCGGGTAGAACTGGCGCCAGGCGTCCACCAGCTTGCGCGTGTGCGGCGCGCTCAGGCGGTACGTCTGGCCGGTGAGCACGCCGGCCAGGCCGTACGGCGCCAGCAGCACCGGCAGGCCGGCGCCGTGGCCGTGCGCCGCCGAGAGGTGGGCGCGCGTCACGCGCCGCAGCGGCGCGTGTTGGCGCAGCGACAGGCTGGCGCACACCGTGCTCTCGCCGTGCACGAAGAACGAGAAGGCGAACGACAGGTTGGCGCTGCGGACGAGGTGGGGTACAGTCAGCGCAGAGGGAAGGGCGCGGCAGGGGGAGGAGGCGATGGGCAGCGTGCCGGCAAGGTCGGCTGGCTAGTGCTGGGCGGGGGTGACTAATCCGTGCGGCTGATGACGTCATTATTTATCGTTTTTGGCTTCCGTTCAACATGAATGACGGAAGCCGCAGCGTATCAAACCAGGACATGTTTCAGCCTACTGAATTAGAACGAAGGAGCATTTAGTAAAGGTGACCAAAGGCCCTATAATCAAATATTCATGTCCAATGGAAATAAGACCAGGAAGAGGTTAGGTTAGCAGCGCTGGCCGTGCAAAACAAAAATGAAAAACAAACAAAACAAACGAAATCGAGCATATGACAAGTTAGGTTTCCACACGGGTATTCCATCCATCATCGCTTTTACGTCACAGATAACTGTCTACAACGTGGAACAATACACATGATCATTGTCTGGAGCAGTACCTGTAGGTTTTGTTTTGGAGTTTGTCCACATTGGAGCATGGCTGCGCGAACCATTTTCCCAGTTTTACAAAACCTCGGGACAGCAGGCATCTGAAAAGATTACGCTCATTACGATACAATCTTTCGCATCAGTGCACAAACCCCATTTTTACTGTTATGATTCAGCAATACCTAGCCAATGACGACGTGTTATGAAACGGAAGCTACAATCCTACTACAGCAAATCCTGCCCCCCCCCCCCCCCCCGACGATTGTTTACATGCTCCGGCTGGCCACCCTGCACCACTGTGCCGAGCGGCGGCGCGTGTCATGAGCCGCCGCACGGGGCGCGGGCCGGCCGCCAGCCGCGCGCCGCCGTCGGGCCGTGTTTACACGAGCGGCGTCACGGCGGCCGACCGGCCGGCAGCCGGGCCGGGCCGGGCCGGGCGGCCCTGACTGCGCGGCCCCGTCCGCGGCCGGTGCCGACGCCGCGGCTGCCGTCCGTCAGCCCCGCCGCCCGGGCCGGCCCGGCCGGCCGCGCGGACGGCACGACCGCACGGTAGGCTCCGTGCAGAGCCACAGCGCTGGCCGTGAACATGCCGCTACCGAGCAGCAGCTGTTCGATTAGACGGACTGCGCGACAGATACCATCAACTGTTACTTGCGAAGGCCTCCCAGTCGGCGTATCGCAGTATTTTTCTCCCGGTATTTGACGGTACAAGTGAACGCCTGATATTTTTCTTCCGGTAGTTGACGGTTCAAGTGAACGCTTAGTATTTGTATTCCATATTTGACGGTAGCACACAAATGAAGCACTCATTTGAACAACCCCGTAAAGCCCGGGAGCTTGGCGCATTATGGCAGCCGCCTGTTTAGCCGCTTTCATTCGGCGACGGCCAGTTTTCATCACCGCACAAAGGGGGCGGCGGTCGGCACAAAGGTCCCGGCCGGCCCGGGCGGTGCCGGTCACTGACCCCCGGCGTAGCCGTGCCTCGGCGAGCTTCCCCAGCACCGACAGCGGCACGACCCAAGCGGCGGCCGTGCGCGCCGGCGCCGCTCGTGCATGGCGCGCCGCCGTACAACGGTACGGCGGCGGCGGCGGCGCACCTGGCGGCCCGATAGCGGCGCGCACCGCGCGGCCGGCGGCGGTCGCCTGCCCGGCAGGCCGGCCCCGTTTCAAGGTTGCGGCACCGCGTACGCGGGGCCCGCCGTACGTGGCCGCTAACGGCCGGCCGGGAACTGTGTCACACGGCGGCCGCCTCGGCAAGGCACGGCGCGGCGCGTTGTCGGCCTTGGCCCGCCGTCGGAGGGGCGCCGTGCGCGCGCTCGGCACGGCCGTGCAACAGGCGCGCGGCGGCGGCAGCGGTCGGTCGGTCGGTCGGTGCGCCCGCCCCCGCCTCCGCCGCTGACCAGGAGCGCGCCGGGATTACCGGGCCGGGCGATGACGTCATCGCGCCCTGGCGCGCGGCCCGCTAGCCGATCCGGCCGCGCCCGAGCCGCCGCCGCCGCCGCCGCCGCCGCGTATGCAGCGCGGAAAGCGCATCGACCCGCACCGTGTCATCTGCCGGCGCGTACTCTGGCGCGACGAGAGGAGGCGCCGCCGCAGCCGCCGCAGCCGGACACCATCGACCGGCCGTAATGCGAGCGGCGCGCGCGCGCGCGTGTGTGTGTAATGATTGCCCGATCATCACCGGCCGGTTGACGTATCGAGCGGCGGCTCCTCCCATTGGCTGGCGGCCGGCCGGCCGGCCGTCGGTGTAGTAAGCGGCCGCAGCCCGATCAATAGCGCCGCCCGGGTCCGGTTAACAAGTGTCAGCGTCGCCTCCGCTTACCGGCCTGGTCTCACGGCCATGCTCCGGGGCGCGCGCGCGGCCAACCTACCTCTCGATGAACTTGTGGAGAGCCTTGAAGAGGAGCGAGCGGCACTCATACGACAGGCCGCTCTCCCAGTTGCCCTCGTCTTGTTCTGCAACAAGTGAAACACGTCAATGTGGCACAGGCATGAGCAAAGCATGTCGGCCGGCGTCTGCCGCCCGGCGCTGCCCTCGGACAACGTTGACGGCATGGCGGGACGGCTGGGGGACGGGGCGAGCGGGAACGTATGACGTCGGCAGACGGCCGGCAGGTGCGCACCACGCCGCGCCGGCCCGGCAGACCGGCGCGCACCGACAAAAACCGGCCGGCGCCGGCCCGCCACCTCTCCGCCATACCATTTACGCGCCGGCCGGTGGACGGGCGCACGGCCGCCGTAACCATAGAAACAGATCGATGAATCGGAGCGCGCGCCGCCACTTTTCGCCGGGCGGGCAATCAGCGGCCGGCCGGGCGTCAGCGGCGGCCGGCGATCGGCCGGCCGCGCCGCCTGCCGACGGCCCTTTCACCGGGCGGCGGGTGGCGCGGCGGGGGTGGCCTGAACGGGAACGCCAGCCCTCACGTGGCGCGTCGACGACGACGGCCGACGGCCGGCCACGCTTAGTTAGAAGTGACCGCGGCGGCGGCGCCAGCGGCGGCGGCAGCCCAATAGTCGGCATTCGGCAGCCATGGCGTCTGCGGTGGCTGACCTTCAAACACTTACGGCTGCATGCACCGCGGTGGCACGCAACCGATCCGGCAGGCCCCGCCCACCAGTCCGACATGAAAGGGGCGCCGCGCGAGGCGGGCCGCACCGGACTTGCACAATGTCTGCGCAGCGCTCCCGGCGGTGCGGACCGCGCCGCCGAGCGCCGGCGAGTTGCCGCGGGACGGGGAGTGGTTGGTGGAGGACGGGCAGTGAGATCGGGACGAGCGGCATTGGCCGCCCCGTTCAGCACAACGGCTGGGGCGGCGGAACTTCTCAACACCGCGTGACAGTCGGCAGACACGTCGGCTCGCGTCATAAACACAGTGTTTATGCGACCCGTCAATGACGGTTCATTTGCTGCTGGCCATGAAGGTCCGACCGACAGAGGAAAGGGGGCATTACATCGGGTGTCGTATTAGTTCCGCAAAGCTGTTCCAACGAGGAGTTGAGGCCTTCTCCACACAAGTCCACAAGCAAGGGGTTTGATCCCAAATGCATGCTATAAAACATCTGATGACAGCTGTACAAAGTATCGCGGCTTATAAGCTACAGCAAAAAAATGAATCACATCCTACGAATTCATAAAGCCGACGGTTACTGTACTCATGCATACTTCCCCAATAGTTTGCAACCGTAACTTGGGCAAAGCTGGCATACCAAATGTGTGTGCTGCAAAGGTGTGTTTAACACATGCCTAGTCACTTGCATGTTTAGTAAAAACAACTTTGATCTTCCTTGTTTTAATATATAAGGTATTCCTTCTACTAGCGAAATTTCGACAAACACAAATAGCGGGTAAAACGCCAGCTCCTTTCAGTTTGCCGTGACATCAACGGTCTTTTAAAACCCATAACTCTGTACCAAGATCACACAAAATATGACATTTGTACAAACAATGGGAAAATAGTAGCTTTAGTAAAGCATTATGTCGCAAAACGTAATTTAATTTTACGAAACGTGGTTCGAAACGTGACACATTGATAAATCAATTAAATTAAACTGAACAAAAAGAAAAAGTAAGAACATATGAATAATAAGTAGGGCAAATGTCCAAACAGACACTGCATGAGTATTTAACAAATAAGTCATTAATGTCTCACATCCAACACACAAAAAAGACCCCGCTTCTCTGACATAGTTATCACCATAATCAGGTAGTTTCTATGCATGTCACATTTCAAAAGACTATCACTGGAGTTGTGAGCCCATGTGCTCTGCTATGTCCATGCCAATGAGGTGTACCAAAGGAAAGTCTGAAGGAAGGACGAATGTTCCAGATGGAAATAAAATACCAAAAACCTTCACAAAAAAAATTCACAATGAGTTTTCAGATACACTTGACTGCCTGAGGAAATTTCGTTATATTACAACATGCACAACAAAATGCAAACCCTCAGACCCTCACAGAGATCAGACCAACTGAACAAAATCATAATCTATGCAGTTGCAATTACAACATTGTCTCTGCACATAATGAGTTATTCAATTCTAAAACTCACGTCAAAATTTAAACACCAATCATAACCAAAACAGTAAATTTGTAACCCACCCCAATTTGAGTACCCAAATTCAAGCACCAATCACACCCACTTTGTAAGCCACCACCATTTAAGTCCATTACCACATTCCACCATCTTCTTGGCATGATAGAATATATGAACATCTCATTATTAATCTAACAATACTGATAACTTGAAAGCAAATTTGGTTAAAATACTGTTTTGGCAGAGGTAAAATTTCGTTTTCTGCCATCGAAATTTGGCAGCAGGCTTCGAATGGCTGAACCCACCTCTGTAGATACCAGCGCAGCATATTGCTGGAAATTCCTGCCTTTGAACAATTATTAACAAAACCATAATGTCTCACCAAATTCAGGTCACTTTGAAATCAGCAAACCAGACATATAACAACTTATGCATCCTGCAATCCAGAAAAATGGGCAGAACAATTTACAGTTATGCAATAGTTGGATAAAGGGTATGTTACTGTTGATAAAAAGTGCCTCTTTGCATAAGCTATTTGCTATGCATGGAAATGGTATAAATATATCCCCTTTTGCTATCCATTTGCAACAGCTGTCTCCTGAAAGCTCTTAATAACTGCTAACTCCACATGCAAGTCTACTGCCCTGCTCACTCGGTGTGGGAGGGGGGCACCAGGCAACGCATGCCTAAATGTTGGACGTAATATTACAAATGGACGCAGTATTGGAAATATAACTGCTGGGCTGTATAACTGCTGACTGCTGGGCTGAGCTCGGAAGGGAAGTGAACAACATATATCTTAATTTGGATGCAACAGTACAACAATTTTGCATTTCTATTTCTGCCAACACAACTGCAGGCACAGGCTAGGCATATTAATGATTCCACTTAATGTACCTGCACGCATTGGCTAGGCATATCAATGATCCCATTACACATATTTACATTAAGTGTGGTGAACAAAGTCATTCCAAGATGGTTCCAACCACAACCACAACAGGATCAATTATCTGCCTATAACCAAAATTGATTGCATTCTGTATCACTTAAAAGATGGGATAACTCAACAATTTGCTGGGCATTACATGGCCACCTCATTCCATACACAAAATAATGGAACAGCACACAAAGCCTGTGTGCGCATCGGGTGGGGGCGGGGTGGGTGTAGGGAGGGGTGAAGTGGGTTACTTGTAACCACACTCTACATGCTGTTTGACATGCCCCAGGCCATTACAGCACAGTTAACTGATGGCCATAGCCTGCACTGCTGCCCTAAATTGTGAATAAATCACGCATGACACACAGGCTGCTCAAGACAGCAGTGCCGCCCAACGGTCGATGGGACTCACTTCTGTTGAAGAGCTGCGGAGCAATGACGTTGCTTAGCTCCGGTTCGTCGCCATACCAGAAGATCCAGAGCTCCTTGTAGGTGGTGACGGTAGGGGGGCGCGGCGGGTGTCGGCGGCGGCGGCGGCGCGCCCGGCTCCAGCGATGCCGGCGGCGGCGGCGGCGGCGACTTGGCGTGCTGCACGCGTCGCCACACCTGACAGGATGTCGCTTGCCAGACATTTTGTAAATGAGAGGATGACAGGATCCTCCAGTGGATCGGACTTCAGCTCATGCTCGATCCTATAGCTCCGCCATTTGATGCCGCATAAATCAGTCTGAAAAATTATAATGGAAGCATTACATATACAAAGCCAGCCTCACTTCTGAATGTAAACCTTCACGGTGTTGGATATCCACCACAAGAAGAAACTCTATAAATGGCCGAGGCCATTGTGGGGATGCTAAACCCCTACCATCATGATTATCATTATCACCATTCACCTCTGAGAAATAGATACCTTTTGGATACAACATGGCACATGACCATGAGCATTTTTCCCCTTAAATTAGGATCAGTGGATTAGGATAAAGTCAAAAGATTGGGACCAGAAGGGTAAAATATTATGCACTCAAGAAAGCAGATAAACAAACATAACAACTGCTATCCCCCAGATGAGCTACTTTCAATTGTTGCAGTGTAAAAGATTAAGATGTGAAAATGAAAAATAAAATACAAGAAACAGTAAAATTGAAACACTTAAAGCAATTTGAAGATCGCTACTAGTATCCTTTGATTTATCCTCTGATCAGATCTGAGGAAAGATTGGATTTGATCACCTCTGATTTCAGAAAAGAAGAGAAGGCCATGAAATAGAGCACCAGTTGTTACCCACACCCTTAAAAAACATTATCTTTGGAGTGATCACATGCAACATTGCCTGACAGTGTGCAATGGAAGTGGAAGCATAAATGACAGCTTTCAAATAAAGATGACCTGAATTACCATGGACCAGCCAACAAAAGTGACTAACATTTTAATAAGTTTCAGAAACAACAATACATATATATATATATACAATATAAACAACAATAGGATACAACAATGCCATTTCAATAGGTGGATATATAGCAATTTTGCACTGATGCCCAACCATTTAAATACTAATAACAAATGTGCCAATCTCCACTGCCCATCAAGTTTTTCCTTGCACACAGCATGACATGTCCTGACTCAAGCATCAGTGTTTAATGCTTTCAGGGCAAAGATGACAAAACTGAAAAGCTCTACCCTAAAAGTTAATTTGACTCCCTGGCTGCAGCCTGTCTTCCTCCCAACTAAGATAATCTCCTCCAACTAACCTCAACCTCCCACCTAAGATAATAAGATAATCTGAGATAATCAGTATGGTTGGGAACAAAAATAGCATAACCTTAAAAGAAAGTAAGATGCTTACAGGCTATGCACCTTTAAGACAACCAACAATTTTTATCTGAGGAGCATCCACTGTAAAAGCTGTATGAAGAATGCAGCATTTCTTCAGAGATCAAAGAACTATACAGAAACAATGAACCCAAATGACTACAAAACTGGTGAGAAACCTTAAGTTGCCAATCAAGGAGACAAAAATACAAACATTCATCTACACTGAGCCACAGGGTTGTGTCCCAACATTCCAATCACAGTGACATTCCAATGCTGAAAAGCAAGTATTGATCAGCAAATAATATGAAGAACAAGCATGGTTTCCTACAGTTAGATGCAGTTACTTTCTTAACTCACTAATAATCTAAGACACATAAAAAATAGCATGCATGAACATGCTCCCCTCCTCCACCCCCTACCAGTTCTGCCTCCACATGCCATTTTAGCAACAATCACCACACAAGAATATCACAAAGCTTGCACATAGCAATACTTCATGGGAACTAATGCTCTATTTGGTTCATGTCACACAGACAGTCTGAGGTATTGTTTGACAAATGCAGATGACAATTTTCCTTCCCTAACTGGGCATGTAAAATGAACATAACACATAAAAAGACCATCCGCTGACCAGCCGATACACCTTGCTTTCATCAACATAGGTAAACACAAGCTTTTAAGTTATACCAAATCCCCTTATATGAAAAGGTAATTTTAAAAAGTGTCAAACACACATATACACTAGCTCCCTCCCCACAAATACATCAGGAATAATCAAAGAAAGGTAGCAGGTGCCAGGTGGGCTCCCAGTGGCCACCCATCCACCTACCGCCTAACCTGGCGTTTGCCAGTCACGATCTTTCTATTCTACACATGGCTTCGATATCTTATGTTACCCAACACATCGTACAGTTCATGTCACAATTTACAACAACGTCACATATAACGCCCACAGGGCACTTGGTGCGCGTAACTCAGAATAAGTAAACCTGTCTCACCAGAGCGAAGAAATTCGTATGACAATCCTCCAAGCTCGCCCCGTTGACGTGCGAATTAGAGTTAGTCATATCACCACTCCCGTAACTTCTCCATTTCTACAAGATCAGTCCATTTCTAACAAATAATCCCAGTCTCCAACAGAAACACAGCCCACAACTATACGTGACACTTTCGACCGCGAACGTAATGGCGGACGAGACACAAGCCAGCAGTGAAATTACTGGCCTGTGATTGGCTGAAATCCATCGGGATTGTAAGTATGGCTGCGCTCATGAGTACGGTCGCGCCGAATCTCATAAACAACACACGCTTGCAGTGTTGAGTGTCGGTTGGGTGCATTCAGGTTTCGTAAGTATTATCTGGTAAGGGCAGGTTTGAGCAGCGATCGTACGATCGTATCTCTTTTTTTCGGAGCTCCGCTTTGGATGCAGTAGAGCCGCATTGTTTACGATAGCTCACCGGCCGTGAACCGGCCGTGAACGTACTAGTGCTTTCTGGGAGATGGAGATGCCTTACGCTTGGCTGTATTCATTTCCGCTGCAAACTTAAAATCATTTGGTCTCCTTCATCAAAGTATCACATGACATATTGCAAAGGTTCACGCACCTATCATCTCACTAACTCATGTTACTAGGGCCTAGAAGCTCTCTGTTTTTTTTTTAGAGATAAATTGGACAATGCTGATGACTAGAGTTTGAATTACCAAGCGTAGCTTGTTTTCATGACTGTGCTTGACTTTGAACAAAATTAGGAATGACTGATATCAGCCATTTTCCAAGTCAAGCATAATTCAAATCCAAGGTTTTGGATTTTTCTCTTTGGGTCTTGTTGCAGCACATCAAGACATGAAAGTAGCAAGGGAGGGTGCATCTGCTGTTTGATGGAAGTTGGCAGTACTGGTGCTGTCAGAGCTGCAGGCAGTACTAGTGCTGTCAGAGCTGGGCACAGTGCTGGTGCTGGCAGAGCTAGGAAGGGTTGGGTTTCTCACATCTCATGTGTGTACTGATTGTAATGCAGTTCTGCAGTGCTGTCTTGTTTGTAAAGTGTTGGTCCCATAAGGATTTTCAAGTCCTCAGAACAGGCTATTCCCTAAACCATTGTCACTGAAGTTGGCTCTATAAACATATACTTTGGAAATAAGCCAGATCTTGAGTCTGAACTGGCCTTGACATGAAGCTTTACTGTGCTGCAGGGAAGCAGTTAGAATCAACATCATGCTTGGTGTGTCAGGCTCAGAATTGATTCCATGAAGACGGAATCAGGCACAAGCCTGCTTCATGGACAGACCCTCACTGTGCTGCCCAAATGTGTTTGGGATATGCACTCTATGGTTCAATTTATAGATTGTTGGCTGGCATGGAAAACCATGCAGTCCTAAACAATGCTTTATGTTCTGTTAAGCCCTCAAAACATGCTCCTCATGTATGGGTCAACTGTTTCCTGTGCAGGTCCAATAGTGACACTGTCAATATTTTTGGAGAGTTGGCATCTGGTGTGCTCTTGTTTTTGCTCAAGAGTGAAACCCATTGACACAGGTCAATAAGACAAGCTTTTATGTTTAGGATTGGTGACATAATGGTTCTGTTTGTTCCTTGAAGTTCTTGCATCAGTCTGGATCATCATCTGGAATTGCACCATCTGGATTGCATCATGTGGAATGATACCTGCTATTGCCATGAGAGGATTGAATTCAGTGTGGGATGCCAGGAGCTGCTAGCACATTGACTAACTGAAATAAGGTATTTTCACGCTGTGGCTCACAAGGACCTTCTCAACAAGGTGAGAACACAGACCAGTTGTCAGTTGCTCCCTTATAAGCACAAGTGCCCAAGCTCTATACAATCAAGGCTGAGGCATGTCATGATGTACTACCAAAATGACAGTATTCCTGGTTTCTCTATGCCCTCTCTGTGTACCCTATGCAGTCTGAACCTATGCATTATGTTTTGTGCTTGATGAGCCTATGCCAAGGGTCTCTAGTATGGATGGTGGAAAGGATGTGATTAGCATCAATATCCCTCATTAGTGCTGAGTACCAACATTTTTTGAGAACCTTTGGGAAGAGTGAAACTGACTTGGTGCCCTGTAATGTTCACAGAGAGCTTTTGATACCACTAGGCCTATGAGAAGTGTTGTGTGGATGCCTCCTAAGAGCAAGTAGAATGTTGTGATGATTTATGGTATTTACTAGTCTTTAACACCTAAAATTATCCACTTTTGGTCACCATGTTTGGTCATAACACTATAGGTTAAAATGCTACTGTAATAAGTTCTGCACTCACATTCTGTAGGATCTGTCTGTAGGCCAGAACTTTGTTGGCTATTGCAGTGCTTAGGGGAAATTGACTAAAATGA